AATGTTTTTCCAACACCATTGCTTTATTCGTTTTTTCTTAATTTGCGTTTTAAATTCATCAATTTTTTATTTAAAGGGACGCAAAGGTTTCACTTGAAAATTGTAAATTATGCAATAAAAAGAGTCTTTAATTATGTTTGTTACAAGAAAGATTGTTTTTATTAGTAGTAGATATTTGTAATATCTAAATGCAGAACTACAAGCGAAATAGAAATTTTATATTCTAGCTTGGAAATTGATTAAATGATTCTTTGAAAAAATTTTTCATTAAATTGATGAAATGATCCTTCAAAAGATTTTTTCGTAAAATTTGAAATTTGACTGTGTAAAGAAAATTTCGTGAACTAATTACATTATTGTAAGTAGAAATATTTAAAAAACTTAAAAAAATTTATTTACCCAATTAATTACTCATTACCCATTAACCACTCACTATACTTAGTGCAAACTAAAGAATTTTTTTTTTTTTTACTTCGTTAGAGTAATGATTCATGTTGAACAATTTGAATAATTTTTGCATTCCTGATTGTGCTACATACGGATTGTGCGAAGAAAACTAGAAATTTAGAAGTTTTACTCTTGACATACAAAACACATAAAACTAAGAAAGTTATGTTAAAGTCTAGTGATGACTTTTTTAAAAAATCCTAAAATTGTCATAAAGTTTTTTTTTTCATGTAAATTACTTGAAGAAATTTGTTTTCCACTTGTTTTGATAAATTTTGTAAGAGGCAATTTTTAGGAATCTATGAAAGTAGCGCAAAATTGACCAACTTATTTAAAGGTAAACAACATTTACTAATAATTAACATTTTCTTTTATAATTTACTACAAAAAAAACATTTCATTCATATAATGAATATATTATTGTATAAAATATGTTAAAAATGTGCTATATTTCATAGGACTTTTTAAAACGAAACATCAACAAGTAAAGAATAATTTAGGTATTTTTCTACTTTGTTTTATTTCAAGAAAACCATTAATAGTTTACAAATATTTAAAAAAAAATGTGTGCAAAAAAAATTTCATGGAGTTTTTGTTTTAAATAGTAGCAATATTTAGCTTAGCTACCTTTTATTGGGCAATCAGAAATAAAAACTAATAGATTTTAGTAATTTATCTAGATTTAGTAATATTTACAAATAAAAGATAACAAAACTTCATTTGGAAAGCTACATTACCTAACTCATTTTTTAATATACTCACCATATCTTGCGAGGTACATATAATATATGTCATCACTTTTGTATGCCATGTTCAATATGCCACAGTGTTTAATTTAGATCTCTACTGTTCTGCCCCCAAAGCTTGACCCAGGATGTCATGCCGCTTAGTCTTCATTGTATGGAACTCTTTTTCACCAAAAACTGTTATTAAATTCAGGAATAAAAGAAAATCACTTTGAGGTAAACTCAGGCCTCAATTTTTTAAAATTCAGGTTTGTCTTCTGTTTTTGCTTTCAACTCCGTTGGTACTAATAGTAGGCCATCACTCATTGTGAATGAGTTAAAAACGAATCTGAAGACAAAATTAAGTAATTCTAAAGTGACACCAAGTGATTTTTACTCATTTCCAAAACTTTACCTTACCAATTAAAAATTTTCAATCGGTCAATAGGGTCAAATATTTCTTCTGCGAGAGATGAGTAAGGGATGATTTGGTAGCTGTTTTCGCCAAGGAAGTATCAAAACTCCCTTGAAAGAAAGACATTTTTTTTAGAATTCGAACACAAAAAAATTATCTACTTTTTTATAATTGAAAATTTAATTACACAAATATTGAGTGAAAAATTGTAATCTTAGAAGGATCTCATCATTTATAAAATGTGAGCCCCCCTGGTTCTGAGGTCCCTGTGTGGGGAGTTTCTAAATATCTTTTAAGAAACTTTACTACAAACTTTTTAGTCTGCCTATGATACTGGTATGCCTATTATGTATCTACTTATATTAATAAAAAATATTTACAGAAAAATAGGTGTGGACAAAGCTGAGAAATTCCCTGGCTTAGGGTGGATGGAATTTCTTTTATTTATTAGAGCATCTAAAGTCATCATACTTATTTTTTATAGATGTTATTATAAAGTGTAAAATAAATTGCAGAATTAAGAGCCATACAATTGAAGAACACAGAAATCATAAGTTAATTATTTTATCATTATGACCCATCAATACCTTAAATCATTACCTTACGTCATCCTAATTAAAAACCATAAACAGTCATGTTTATGGTTTTTAACAGTTATGTTTAAACTGTTAAAAACCATAAACAGTCAGGAAATCATAATGCATGTGAGGGTTTTATAGTAGTATATATTTAAAACCTTAAATTATAAATAATTATTAACAAATGTATGATAAGAATTAGTCAACAATAAAGTAGAAAATATAGTTTTGGGCAAAATTTCACTTTATATTCATATTTTTGTTGCTTTATTTTAGAATTCATCTTTTCTATGAATATTTATCAATTAAATAAAAAACTATGTCTATGAATATTTATAATGACTCAATTAAATAAAAAAAAACTATCATCCAATTTTTATTTTATTTTTCATGTTATTGAAATTTAATTTTTTCTCTTTTGTTGTTATAATTTGTAATGATTTTTCTTTAAAATTTAAAAAGTTTTACAAATGCATAAAATTCAAATTTTAACAATGATAATTTTTCAAGCAAAATTATCCAAAGAAAAAAATTTAATTAAAAGAAAAATTATATTATCATTATAAAACAGAGTAGAATTAACATATAATTGTCTATATTTAAAGTATATATAAAACAGTTTTTTTTTCTCTTTTCAAGACGTTTTCTTTTCAAACGTTTAATTTCCTAAGCAAAGTTGTAGTATTTAATGTTTGCACTGTGCTATTTAAAATATAAATAATGATCATACCCTTTCATTAATATAAAATATTTATGCCAATTCATTCATACTTATTTATTTATGCTTCTAAGAGTTTTCTTATCTTTACTGATAAAAAAAATATCTGGTAAGGAAACGTTTGAAAGATGCGTGCTTCTTTATTAACAATTTTTTTTTTCTTTTTAGAAGAACAGTCAATTTTTTTTTTCAATGGAATCATTTCTTCTGTTGATCAAAATTAACATAAAACAATTTTTTTAACGTTAATAGACAATTTTTTTAAACACTTTTTTAACGTTAATAAACAATTTTTCAACGTTAATAAACAATTTTTTAACGTTAATAAAAATTAATTTTAACGAAAAAAAATTTTTTTCGTTTAGTTGACACAAAGTTAATCCTCAGAAGTAAAATTTTGAACTTAAACTTGTAAATATGTATTCTTTAATATAAATAAAGAATCACACAAAATTAAAAAATAATACATTTACCTTTCCCCTCATAGTTTGTTTGGTAACCACTCTGGTAAGACCAACTAGCAAAAGAGCATGTTGTCTGTTAATGAAAAAGGGAATTTGGGAGATTCCATCTAAATTATGTTAAGGATGTGGTAAAATGATCCTATCATCAAAGTGATTCAAATCTGTTGAATCAGTTTATATAAGTGGTTGAAATTACAGACCGATTCTTATCACAGAATCGAAATTTGAGCTGATTCAAATCAGTGCTTCAACTTAGTCAATTCAAGCAATTTATATATTAAGTCAGCAATATGCAGGTAAACATTAATACTGATCTATTGCTTTTAAAAAATTATAATTCAAATTTGGCTTTCTCTTTGATTTCTGTTCAGTTGTCAAGAAATCTACAGCTTTAGCAAAGTTATTAATTTTAAAAAAAAATATTCAAAGATTAACAGCAGCCAGAACTAATTATGATTCAGATAAAATACAATGATTTGAATCAGTAAATGAACCAAGAGATAAGATTTAAGCAATCTAAATAGAGTAATTTGAATCAAATAATTATACTAAGTCATATAAATCAAATGATCTGTATTGAAAGATCCGATTAAAATGATCTAAATGCTGAAATCATTGATTCAAATCAATTTCAAGATGATGAACCATTACCTAACTCTAGTTGTGTTGCCACAAGGACTGAGAAAGAGTTAATTTATGAAACTTAAAAAAATCTTAATTTTTTACGTAAAAAGATATAACATTTGAAAATTAAATAAATACCAGTTCTCAATTTTTATAACATGAACCAATTTATTTACATACAAAAAATATTAATGAAAATATGTGGAAAAAAGAAAATAATTCAAATACAAATGTGATAAATAATGATTATAAAAAATTCACGAAATGATAATTTAATAAAGAAACTTTGTCTTATTAATAGTGACTTTTTACAAAATCAATATTTTTAATAAATCTTTCGATTTTTTAAAAATAAGAAGACGGTTAAAAAAATTACTTCTAAATTTTTAAAATGTAAAGGAAGACTTGGTAAAATTATTAAAATCTTAAAAAACATTTTTTGGCAAGAAAGTTCTATATATGTAAATATCAACGCAACAAAATATTTTATGAAGCAAAATAACCTTGGTAACTTTGGCAAAATAACCTTGGCATTTTATAAGTTATTGAGTGTTTATAAAAAATGGACATTCATTATCACTTTTCACAACATTAATGTTAATGGGTTTAACAGTTTACAATAAATAACTCTACTTATTTGTATAACTACTTAACGTAACTTAAATTTCCTTACCAAAGTAAATAAACGATAATTATTTTATGAAATAGTTAATTGATATAAATTTCTTGTTAAAAGAAAAAAACAAGCGAGTGTGTATAATATTTGGGATTTGAATAGTTAAATCTACTTAGTTTAGGGTAAAAATTATATATTTCAAACATTTATTTTGATCACTCTCAAATATTCATCAAAGACAAAAATTTTAAATACTGTTATCAATACTTACTAGCTATGTAGCTGTGCAAGGAAACATGGAACGAAGGTTTTTGTGATTAAGAATATTTGAGATTAACTAAACAAAACAAAATTGTAAGAAAATATGGGTAAATACATTGGAAATTGGATCGTTGGAAATTGGATCGGAAATTGGATTGCAATTGGATCGTTCATTAAAATCTTTACAAATTTTGGCATTTTACAAGCTATTGAGTATCTATGAGAAATGTACATTCAATATCACTTATCAAAATAAGCATTAATTCTGATGAATTCACCAGTTTTATATAAATACATCTACTTAATTTTACTAATTGATGTAACTTCATAAAAAAAATAATAATAACCAAACGCATAATAATATTCTGAATTCATTCAGTTATTCTTACTTTAGAGCAAAAATAATATATGCTATGTTTTAAAAATTAATTCTTTTTTCACTCTCAAATATTTATCATCAATGATAATAAATATAAAATACTGTTATCAATACTAGCTATGTAACTGTGCATGGAAAAATATTTTTGTGATTAAGGATTTTCGACATAATTGTAACAAAACAAAATTGTTAGGAAATATTGATAATACATCGAATTGTTAATTAAAATCTTTACAAATTTTGGCAATTCACAAGTTATTGAGTATTTATAAGAAATGGACATTCATTATCACTTATCATAACAAGTATTAACACTGATGAGTTCAACAATTTACAATAAATACATCTACTTTATAGATAAACAACTTTCGAACGATGTCTCTTAGATGTTTTCTTAAAAATAATGAACAAGGAATCGGATGATGAGTGACCTGAAAAAACAATTAAAATATTCAACTTATAATAACATAATTATTTATGTTGCTCCGTGACATATTCAATAAAAGGTGATTAGGGTGCTCTGGTTTAATTTTATTGAAACCTTGTTTTGTACAAATACACCATAATTACAAAACTCAGAAAGAAGAAATATTTGTTACGTTCATCAATAGGTGCTTTTAATCAGAGGTAAAAAGAAGACATTTTAAATTGAAAAGCATACAGGATGTCCGAAAAATACACACTGGACCACATGCAAAATATTTTCAAAAGATGCATTACCAAACTCCCTTACCGTTTCCTCATCAAAATCTTTAAATATAAATCCTCTTATATCTTCGATATATATCCTCTTATATAAATCCTCTATATATAAATATATATATAATCCTCTTATATTAATATAAATCCTATATAGCAGATTTGGATTCTCTCACTCCCTTATCCTTGGATTTGCCCCAGGCTTTGGGGTTGGGCAGGATTCGAGTTTGATATCCCTAGATAGGGTTTTTTTTTGTTTTCAAAATATCAAGTTTCACAGATTGATCACAAGACACGGTTCCCATTAGATTGCCAAAGTCGTTAGCTGGCGGGAAAAAAGCTTTTTCGTTCCTCAATGAAATCGATACCTCACAAAAAGAAATTAAAGGAAATTCATCCCACCACAAAATTTGCAAGCTGCAAATCATTTGTGATTGTCCCCTTTTACATTGTGGACTCTGCAGGATGGGGGCTCGGATTTCGAGAGGACCATCCGTAGGGTCAACAGAGGGAGGGGGGGGAGATAAAGATTGATAAATTTATGAGAAATTAGAATGCATAAAGCTATCTCAACAATTAGTTCTTGGGGAAAATAACATTTCTTTCATTTTGTTTTTGTGGGATATCTATTTCATTGAGGAACGAAAAAGCTGCTTGCGTGGCCACTTTGATCAGCCTGCAAAGGGGTCGAGGATGCTTGTTATCGGTCTTCATTAAAGTGTCCTACCGTGAAGTATTCGACTTCGTGTACATGTCGTCGAGCTATTAAAACAGGGAAATCTTTCGGATTATTTTTTGGGATGCTTCCCAGACCGTCGCCTATAGCCCATTGTGCAGCTCTAGTGCAACAAAAATAAAGTACTATTCGAAACATCAAACATTTTTATTTATTTATTAGATCTGATAAGTATTTCTTGATACATTTCCATTTGAAACAAATTGTATTTTTTTCCAGATAATTGAAATCTGCTATAAAAAATGTGAGTTTTCATTTAAGGTTTTGAGGAAAATGAATATCAACGCATAAAAGGTATAAATATATTAACTTAGCATTTCGGGTTTTTTGTGTGAAAAAAATATTTTTTTTCTATTCAAAGAATGAGTTTTAATCAGTCTTCCATTCTGTTCCATGACTTTTTGCCATCATTCATAATTTCATGATGACGCGCTGTTTCTTATCAGAAAAAAAAACTAAACCAAGTACGGTTTGAGGACATCATTATTGCTCAAATTTTTACAATTTAAAAAGTTTTGTAAACTTTGAAATAATGATAATCCAAAGGTCGAGGCTATATGAAAAATCTGGCATCACTTGCCAATCAAGCCCCTCGTAAGTGTTGTTAAAGATGTGTAATGAAATGTGATTTTTTTTTTTTATCATATACAAAAAAAATAGAAAAATTCATTTTAAAATAAATTCTGACACAGAAAATTTTAATGCTCACAGAATAAAAATATTAAAAAGAAATTGAATACATGTATTTCAATAAGTAATATAAAACTAAATTTAATATTTTAATTGAAGAAAGTTTCTAGGGTGTAAATAAAAATTAAAACAAAACCGTTATCAAACAAAACAATATTCAACATTTATTTGATAATATATTTCAGTTATTATTTCTATTTATTGAATTATTAAAAGTTTTATTAATGTTATATAGTAAACGTTTTCTTTTTCTTCCTAAAAAGTGAAATAAACAACAAAAAATTTAAAATTACAAACATGAAAAATCGTGCTTTGCTCCTTTCTCCGATATTCTGCTTTTACAATAACATTGTATTACGTCATTAGGATTCTAAACACCTCGTGCGAATTACGATGAAATGTGCATAAATAAATTGCTTCAAAAAGTGATTACTTAAATGCGCGATTAGAAACTCGCATGTCGTAATAACATCGTACTTAAAATTAAGGGATCGCCAAAATCACGTGGAAAAGCATAGAAATAATTGCATAAAAGATTCATTTAAATTTACGATGAAATCAGTACGAATAAAGTGGGTCAAAAAATAATTATTTAAATGAGCGATTTAAAATTTGAAAGTCGTAATAAAATTTCAGAAATTTTAAAAGCACATGGGAATACCTAGCAATAACTGCCGAAAAAATGGTTAAAAAATAACTTGAATTTACGATGAAATCGGCACAAATAAAATGCGTCAAAAAGTGATTACTTAAACGCGTGATTTCAAACTCGAATGTCGTATAATAATGTAGTTTTAAAAATAACAAGATTTTCAAGACTGCCGAAAAATAACTTGGAATTTATGATGAAATCTGTACAAATAAAGCACACCAAAAAGTGATTGATCAATTGCGCGATTCATAATTCACGAGTCGGAATTAAATGTATCGGGATTTTAAAAACCACATGAAAATTAGTAGTTATAACTGAAAAAAAAAAGTTTGAAACGTCACTTGGATTTATGATGGGATCGGAAAAATAAAAGCGAGTCAAAGAGTGATTACTGAAATTTGAAATTCGCGTATCCTAAAATCGCATTAAAACTATTGGATTTTTAAAACCATGCGAAAATCTGTAGTAATAAAAGCTGAAAAAGTGTTCGAGAAAAAGCATAGATTTGAATAAAAATCCGTGGAAATTGAGCTCGTGAAAAAGTGATGACTCAAATGTGCGATTAAAAATTTTCGACATTTTTTTTTTTTTTTTTCGAAAAGAATAATAATTTTTCCTAACGTTCAGAAGCTCTCGCCGCTCGTCAACAGCCTGCAGGCTGCTCCCCTACTTTATAGTTTAAAATCCAAAAGTAATACTTCGTAACCTACGCTTTTGAATCGATGCTGTCTCCAAAAATCAATAAAACATATTGAATTTTGCAAGCTTAGGAGAATAAAATCCGTCCCGATTTTACTGATGAAATGATTTAAAAGTATATCGAATGATTAATTGAAATTTTGAAATGTTATTTATTTTATTTTATCATTTGCAATGTAAAGTGCTAAACAAAAACAAAAATTTAAGAAAAAAAGAAAAAGTATCAAATTTAATTACTTTTTATCCAATGAGTGAAATTTTACATACTGAGGCCAATCGTAATTGTTCAAATGTTTAATCTAATGTATGCTAATTAATAACAAGTACAAAATATCGAGGGGGGGGGGAGATTTGCCTAAGTGAATGAAAACTTCTTGCACACAAGTATGAAACTCTTTCCTCAAACGATAGTTCTTTGCAAAAAAATAATTTAAATTACTTTTTTTTTTTTTTTGTTCAATAATGTCCAAAAATTTTGTAAATGCAAATGTATTCAAATTTTTACGACATTTTGAACTATATATTTTAAATGACAAAATTTTTATCGTTTAGAAATCCACAGTTTAGATAGCTATAGAACATTTAACGAGGACTGATACTGCTCACCCTGGGTCCCCACGCAAGCTGATCAAAGTAGCCACCCCGCCGCTAACTGACCGCAAAGAGTGATGCTTGAATTGTAGGGGGCTGGGCCCATGTCCAAGTGTTCGTGGGTTCGAACCCAACCGGCCGAAGACTCCCCGTGTAGTAAAGTGACTGATGCACGTTAAATCTGTCGAGTCGCAACAGTCCTCCATGTTCTCATAACAAATCAATACCTCTGGGGGTACTGGATTGGAGATCGATCGATCGCTGATTCAGGTCAAAATTACGATCTGTGGATGAATGAATGGTCCGCCCTATAAACGGGTGCGACGTATGGTGTGGCAGAATTCGGATTCTTGGCCTTGGATGGCGCCACTGAAAAACAAGAAACGCACACTCTGCCTTGAATTTGCTCGGTTTCACCAAGCTGTCTTGCCCGTGTAGCAAGTGGCATTAGAAACAACAACAGTGTTTTACTGGGGATCGTGTCTTTATGATCAATGCTCTACGGGACATTCATAGTAGCGCGACAGGCATTGGGCAAAAAGCTGTGAAGCTGACAATTCCAAACATTTTGGATCATCATTAAACAAAACGATAAAAAAAATTTAAATAATTTATAAAAAATTTTCTTTTCATACAAATCTTTGATGAATGGTCCCGCAGCGAACTGATCGTTAAGATACGGTTGCCAGCAGATTACCGAAGTCAAGCATCACTGGCTGCGGTCAGTGTGAGGGTGAGTGACCCCTTGGATTAATCTGCGTAGGGACCGAGGGTGTGCGGTATACGTCCTCGTTAAACTGTTCTACCGTGAAGTGCTCGACTTCGCGTGCAGGTCGTTGGACTATCGAAGCGGGGGTGCCATCCCTTCTGCAGAGGATCAAAATTGCGATGGGATGTTTTCGGATCATCCTCGGGGATGCTTCCCAGACAGTCGCCAATAGACCATTGTGCAGCTCTAGTGCGACGTAAATGAGCAACTACTACTTTGATTAAGGAATTTTTGAATTGTGTGCACAGAATTTCAGATATAAGGCGCAATACGTAAAAATTTAAATAAACATTATAGTCTGTCTATGTAAAGAACTCCCGTGACCTCGCCGTTCTGTCATACGCTGTAAAACGTGGGGGTAACGGGTTCAAATTCCATAGTAACCACGGCTGTATCTTTGTGTTATCCTTCTCTAACTTGCGTTATCTGTTCTTGAACTGGAGTAGGGTTTAGACGCCATACTTTGAAATGAGAACACGAACTTGCATATGTATGGGTAGCAATAAATAGCAGTAGTACTTTATTTATGTCACACGAGGGCTGCACAACGTGCTATAGGTGATGGTCAGGGAAACATTCCTGAGGATGATACTCGAACACATGACATCATAATTTTGATCATCTGCAGAGGGAATGGCTCTCCCACTTTAGTAGACCGGAGGCATGCGTGCGAAGTTGAGCACTTTATGGTAGATAGGTACTTTATTTACGTCGCACTAGAGCAATCCAATTAGTATTTGTAGTTGTAGTTCATTTGCGTTGCACTAGAACTGCACAATGGGCTATTGGCGACAGTCTAAGAAATCCCTGAGGATGATTCGAAGACATGCCATAGCAATTTTGATCCTCTGCAGAAGGGATGGCTTCCTGCTTTGGTAGCTTAACGACCAGCGCAAAGTCAAGCACTTTACGGTAGAGCAGTTAAACGAGGACCGATACCGCGCACCCGCAGTCCCTACGCAGGCTGATCAAAGCTTACTAACCGCAGCCAGGGATGCTTGACTTCGGTGTTCTACTGGGAACCGTATCTTTACGATCAGTCCACTGCGGAACTCCGTGTCAACAAACTGTCAACTGTGGAAAAACAAAAAATAAATAAAAAATAGCCTGTAAGACTTTAACGTATATTTCTTTTTTTTTTAAAATAAAATTAATAATATACTTCAAATTTATGAAGAAATAAAAACATGTTATTCTACGACAGCGGACACGAAAAGCTATTTCGTTGGTGTTTAACCAGTTTTCATTAGAAACATTCGGAGGCAAGATACTTTTAAAAATATCCGCATATAATTGGAATGATCGAAATTATTTCAACATTTTATTTTCATTCAACAGATTGGAGAAAGAAAGGTAAGAAAACACACTATCATAATTAGCAGCATCTGCCTCGGCAATTCTTAAGACTTAAATATTGGGTTATGAAACCTACTACAAGAAATATGAAATTGAAATCGTTTTCTGAGTAGATAATTGAAATGTATTTCTTTAATCTGTGTTTGTAGTATTGAGTAACTTAAGAAATTATACGGTAAGTTTTTTTTCTTCTCCATAAAACATTCTCAAAATACAGCTTGTTACACCAAAAATCATGCTTTTTATAGTTTATATCTGTCGTCCAGATCTCGATTACCTACTAATTTACTTAAATTTTGTTTCTTTTTGTGCCATTATATGTAATTATATGCCATTATATGTCTTAGCATTTTTGAAAATAACCTTTATATATATCTAGATTTATATTCTCTCTTCGTCATCTTATTTCAAAACGACAAAAGCTACTTTTCAGTGGGTATATTTAACAAGTTTTCCAAGAACTCTCAATTTATTTATATGAAACAAAGACATCTTTCTGTTAATTTTTATTTTCTAGATTCATGGAAATATTTACTACCCACTGTTACTAGTGAATTCATCATCATCAATTACTTCTATTTTCAGGATTCGGGAAAAATATTGTTTGCCATTTTACCCCACTGTTACTATTGTTACCAATTACTTCGTATTGTTCGTCATAAGAATATTGGCCTTTTTTCTTTAAAAATGTAATGAAAAAATAATAAAAAATATGTAAAAGTAAAAACATTAATAGAATTTAAGAGGAAAGCACCTATTAAAAATACAGCAGCATTAAAATATGATTATATAAAAGAAAAACTTAAAATCATATAAGTAACCTCAAAATGAACTTCATATTCAATTCAACGCTTCATAAGCAGGGTTAGGGTGTAGATGATAATAGCATACATTTTTTTTTGTTGCATTCTTTGAATTTCTTCCTTTATAGGGCTTTATTTAGTGTCTTTTTTTCCCTTCTTTTATATTCTTTTAATAATTTTCATAAATTTGGAATGATATTTGTGATTTTAAGCGCATTTCAGTAAAAATTCGAGAATATTCCCAAAATTTCATGTTAAATTCCCTGTATGTCTGGATTTAATTCCCAACATTCTCAGTCTTTGTGCATTTCTAGTTCGTAACAAATGAATTTCGGATATAGAAATTCACCTAACCATAATAATGGGGGAGTCACCCTACCGTACTTTTAATTGCCACAACGACTTAACTAAAAGAATTGAAAATTGCAAAAAATTTCAAATAGTTTTCAAAATTCTTAGATTTTTTGAGATCTCTAGTTCTAGTAGATATATTGAAAGTTCTGAAATTGAATAATAGAAACTTACCTAACCATCTGCCAAAGGTGGAGTAACCCATCCATACTTGTCATGGGTTTTGACCAAACTTCTGAAAGATGCCTCTGCGGACTTTTTACTGAATTCTTTTCCATTTTTGCACTTTCGAGCTATCCGACCTTGACCTTTAACCAAACTGGCAGCAAACTGCATCACGACTGCTTCTATTGTATAAGCACTTGCCCATCCTCTTGGAGTTAAAAGTTCCATACATATAGCTCCACCTTCCATCACAAAACCTTTTTCAACATGAGGAGAGATAACTCGCATAAATGGTGGTGAGAATGGGAAATTATCTGGGAAGACCATATTTAACAATACATGCTCAATCTCTGCTTCTTGCATATCGTGATAAAAATCAGACTCAGGATCAATCTGAAACAATTTCACATTCCATTCATAAAGGTTATCGTCAACAAGTTCTACGACAAAAGGCGGTTTCTCTAAATTTCTAGAGAATTTAGTGATTTCTTGATATTCTTTCATCAAGCGTCGCGTTCTCACTGTTTGAGCATGCTTCAAAGATGGACCTTCTGCTCCTGCTTTCGAGCATTTGAAACGAATTGGGGAAGAAACTTTGTCGGGTTCTGTTCCACATGCTCCATTGGATGACGGTTTTTGGCTGTCTTCAGGACTTACTTTGTTTGTATCTCGCTTTGATAATCGTGGGCTCGGACCAAAGAAGCGTGAATGGTTGTGGTGAGTTGGCGAATCTACTATACCATTCTTATTACTAGTGTTATTTTTTCGACGCCAACCTCCAGTCCTATCTCCTGATTTATGACGTTCGGAAGGCTTAAAAAATTTTCTTAAAGCTGATGCCATTCTTTATTGATTAATAATACTGATTACAACATTTCAGATAAAAATCACCAGTGGTCAAAATATATTTTTTTCTGGCATTTTGTTCTCTTGTTCCACCTACAAGAAGGAGAAAAAAGGTTTTATACTCCCAAATTTATGAAATAGTTTTAAGAATCATAAGGGTTTTTTAATTATACTGTTAATGTATACACTGATATGTATACATTAACAGTATAATTATATACTGATATGTAATGTATTAATGTATATTAATGTATAATATTTAGTATGAAAACCGTTCTTAATTTTACATTTTTAGAACTTTTATTAAAAATAAAGACGAGATAATTTAAGCAAGGGAAAACTTTTTTCTATTCCAACATAGAATTGAATTTGTAATTTACAGATATGTCTAGATATATGGGTGATTCTCACGAAACATGACAATTCGGACCAAAACATTTATTCAAATTTAAAGTCTTCAAAATAATCTAACATTTTTTTTTGTATGCTTCTTTAGCTACACTTATTAATATCTTATAGACAGCAGTGTAGTTTATTGACATTTGCTCGAGAAAAAAATAAAATAGAAATTGACTAAATCTTGAATGCCAGGAAAATGACATATTACCTTAGAATTTTGAAATATAGTCATTTTAAGTTAATAGTAAGCAACTCAACTTAAGCCTTTATGTTAGATGGACCATAAATTGCTTAAATTAATTCTTTTTATCCACTGTAGAAAGAAACAAAAAAAATTTTGTGGCTGATATATACAGAATAAAATTGTGTAAAATAATCAATCATTAAATAAATAAATATTTTTGATTACATCCAAGAAGCATATTACAATCATACATAAACTTGGTATTAGGTTAATATTTGCTTTCCCTCTTTACAGTATTAGCAGTTAAAAAGAATTTCTGGTAACACTTCAATGTCCTGGCATTCATAAGCCAGGGAAAATGACAGCCAAGATAATGACAAATTCGCCATTTTATTGCATATAACTTTAATTTAATATTTTGGCCGAAGACGTTTATATTCTGCAGAAAACAACAGTAATTCTTAAAATAATTCAGATAAATCTATGTAGTTTTTGTTATTAATGATTTCAAGAAGCCAGGAAAATGACAGCATAAAAACCTACTCACCTTGAAAAAATTTTTGAAATAGATTTTGAGCCAGAAAATTGGTTCTTTATTCATGCAACAAGACATGTTCAGATAGAAGGGTATCTAATCAATCTATTAACATAAGATATTGATTCCTGGCTCTATCTATTTTGGTTATAAATCACTAAATAAAAGTAGCCAGGAAAATGNCAAATGAAGAGAAGAAAATAACGCTCTCGAAATTCTGAAATCTATTTCATTGTAGGAGACCCTTGTAGCTTGAACCTGAAATTAAACGCCTTCCTTAATTGTGATGCTTCAAACTTCACTAACGATTTTATTTTTTTAGTTCTCTGCAATAATGATTCGCAATTTTCCCAATATGTATACTTTTTTCTCTTCGTTCAAATTTTTTTTTAAAAAAATATAATGTATATGAAGGTCGTTCCTTAGAGAACAACGTTTTGCTCACCATAAATAGAACATGCATAAGATTCTACTTCTAAGCCTGGGTGTTTTGAATAAATCCAAAAGAGATTTCTGCTTCTCCTAAAATGTAGAATTAGTTTAAATATACATAAAAAAAATTCTAAAGACAAACTTTAAACAGTCAAATGAATTTATTAGTATAAAACTAATATTTCTGTTCATTTTAACCGAAACTCTCATTTATTCCTTGTGGTATTTTTCCATATACTTGTGGTGTTTTTAGGAATGCTGGTGCACACTTCAATACAGAAAATAAAAATTTTAACCCCTCGTTTTTATAAAGTAGTGTGAGAGTAACGATCCATAAAGTCATCTTTTTCCTCACTATATATATATATCATAATAAATAAATACAAAAAGGAAATAAAAATGAAGAAAATTAAGAAAAACAGTAGGTTTTATTTACTGTGCATAAAGTGCAAATAAATAGAACTCATAAAATAAGTTTAAAAGTAGAGAAAACATGGAAAAAATTACAGAACAATGAAAAAAGGGAAAAAGGAAAATGATAATACTAAAAATCCGGAAAAAAATATCCGAAAAAAAGTTTTAAAAAAATAAAATAATTAATGAAAATCCGGAAAATAAAATATACAATCATTTCATCAGCTCACGCGATTATATCCGCAAAAGAAGTGCTTTCTAATATTGTATCAATATAGCCAAAGAAAAATATATCAATACAATAGTGTGAGGAGCACTAAAAAAAAACAAATTTACAAAAAATTTACAACAAATAAAATAGAACACATTAAGTCAAAATATCACGTAAAAACAGAAAATAAAATATAAAGGAAAAACAGAATAAAATATAAAACAAAATCTATAAAGCGAATAGCGAATTCAATTGAACTTACAGTACGGGAAATTCTTCAAGAATGATTTAAAGCAATTTCGCAACATAAATTTTTATATGTTTTCCACGCATGCGCAGTGTGAAATGAGGACTTAAAATAATGATATCTTGCACAATTTTCAGCGAATTTTTTTCGAATTTTAAAATGATCATTTTGTTATTTATTAAAATTGGTCAAAAAATTTTATTTAATTTCGCTGAATATTTTTTAAGTTATTGCAAAAAGAATCTAGGCAAGCAAAAAAAATTAAGATTTTTATAAAATGTCCATGCCTCCATAAATAAATTTAATCTAGGCATACGAAATTATTATTCTTTAGATTTAATCTAGGCTCCTATGCATTCATATTGATTTAAATAACATTTTTCCCATCATAAAAATGTGATTAAATATTAATCATTATTGAAACGTTTACGCAAAGATGAAATTTGAATTTTTAGTTGATATTTACTACATTTTTTTTTAAATTTCGGAAACGTTCTTTTATTTTAATTGTGCAAATTTGTGAGAACTTGCAATGTAAACATAACTTTCAATATAAACGTAATATAAACAAAACTTGCAAAATAGTTAAAATACGATTTTCTGAACTCAGTTCAGTTCGTCAGACATCGCCTCCCAATGAAGTGACCCAAAGTTTGAATCCCGGCGATGGCTGGATTGATCCGAATTCTGCTCCCGGCTCGCACCAACCACAGTGCTGACCTAAAATATGCCCAGTGATAGACGGATCATGGGTTAGAACCCACTAGCCGTCCAATTAACCGAGATAGGTTTTCGTGGTTTTCCTCTCCATGCAACGCAAATCTGGGTTAGTTGAATCTAAAAAGTCTGCCACTAAAGCTAGTTAGTCCGAGTGCATGATCCTGGAGCTCTCTTGCCTTCTGAGTTTGGTTCAAACTTACAAGGCTGCGGAGTAAAACATTAATTGTCCTAAACTCAGATTTGTGTCAGCTGTTTAACGCCGGTTATAAATTATAAACTGATTAAAAAAAATTCATTTTTGATTTTTTTTTTTTTTTTTTTTTTTTTTTTTTTTTTTTTTTTTTTTTTTTTTTNAATGAACTAATATTATATATATTTATATATAGTTCGTTGGTATGTACGATTCATTTTTGATTTTTTTTTTTTTAAATATGCAGCTATCATACAAAAATACTAACTAGTTAGTTAGTATTTTTGTATGATAGCTGCAGATTTTCAAAAAAAATTAAAAATGAGTTTTTTTTAATCAGTTTATAATTTATAACCGGCGTTAAGCAGCTGACCCAAACCTGAGTTTAGGACAATTAATGTTTAACTCCGTAGCCTTGTAAGTTTGAACCGAACTCAGAAGACAAGGGAACTTCAGGATCATGCACTCGGACTAACTAGCTTCAGTGGAGGACTTTTTTGATTCAACTGACCCAGATTTGCGTTGCATGGAGAGGAAAACCGCGAAAATCTATCTTAAGTTTATATATATAAGTTTAAAAGTTGAGAAAACATGGAAAAAATTACAGAACAATGAAAAACAGGTTGAGTTGAGCTGAATGTAGTGTTTAATAGCGCAAGGTCCAAAAAAGGGCACGTTGTGCCAAGCAAACGGTTTTTTCCTAACAAATTTAAGATAAAACATATTTATTTTGCCAACATACATTATATTGTTAAAATTAATACATGACTTATGACTGATAATTTAAAAATAATGAAAATAAGGAGATAAAGGACTGCTTAAGATTTCGAAGTTATTAAATTTTAAAATATTGTTTTTTTTATTATTATTTTTTTTTTTAATGAAATACGTTACAAAAATTAAGTTTTTCTTTTTTGTTTCATTTTCACCAACATCTAATATTCTCTTTTCATTAATCTTATTTTATTATTTTTATAAGGGAGCTCTATTCTAATATTTATAATTAAATAATATCGAGAATTTTCCGAATCTCGGTCTGCTCTCTTTTATAATTTCTGTTCTCCTTTTCGCCTAACTTACGTCATTTGTTTTTCGTCAGACTATCTTTTCTTTTATTCATTTGCGAAGAAATTATTTTTAATTTAAATTCTTTGCGATTTACATAATTAAATATATATTTGTTGTCAAATGTTTCCTTCGGGTTGAATTTGATAATTTAAACATATTTACGATCAGTTAAAAATTAAAAGAGTACAAATAACTTTTCAATATTTTCAATTTCCATTACACCCAATCGGTCTTTTTTTTGACCCATGTAATTTAGTTTAGGGGAAAACATCAGCTGTAATATTATAAATTTTCAGCCATGTATTCTTATATCGTAAGATGAACAGTGCGCCTTACACTGCTTAAATTTCTAATTATTTTTGGAGCAATGCAATTGCAAAGTTGCGTTCTTTCATAAATGAATATCAATCCGCTCAAATACTTTGATTTTTTTAAACTTTCATCGATAATGGACTTTAATGAAATTAGTGTAGTATAAAATATATAAGAGTGTGAATTCTAGAGTAGAGAACAAGACCAAAGCAGTAAGAGAGAACGAAGCAATCTGAAAAAAAAATAAATAAATAAAAACTTGCGTGAGTAGTTTAGGGGGTAGGCGAGCGATAATGAACATCCGCCTAATAATAATGAAGAAAAGTTATTAATTGGCGTAAAATTTAAATTCATCCTGGCCTTCACGAAGCCAAATTATGTTTTTATATCACAATCGATTGTGGCTTGGCGGCAGCGACACGAGAAAACTTAGTGAAAATTTAAGAAAATAAAAACTCAAGTAAAATATTAAAAAAATTCAAATAAAAAAAAACAAATCGAATAAAATTTTTAAAACATAAAACTAAATTAAAAAAATAATACTGAAAGTTTTGTGAAAATCTATAAAAATCTACTCTTTCGCAGCTATGAGAATGTGGCAGGAAATGTGGGATACTAACTCAACAGAGAATTTTGTACCGATAATATACATAATTTGACTATCACATATTGGTATAAAAACTAACATTTTTGAACATATGTTGGTAAAATTGTGAACATAATAAATTCAAAATTTGAGACTAAAACACTTAATTCTGTTAGGATGTTTAGAACTAATAATATAGATAGACTGCTTAGCAATCACTCAAAATTAAATATTTTATACATAAACTAACCAACTGCATCTTTAAAAGTATTTTTAACTATGAAATTTAAATTTTTATTTGGTCATTATATAATTTTTTTTAAATCTCCGCTACTCAGATTCACGTAAAAAATACTGCTATTTACATAAAAACACAATCTGCGTATAAATAACATTTTTTTTTCACCTTTTTATATATTTTTAGAATGCAAGTGGTTCCCATAAATTTTGATTTTTTTTTTTTACCTTATTATTATTATTTATATCGGTATTATTTTCAAAATGGTTGACAATTCTTAGTTTATAAAAATAAAAATTCATAAGCGTATAATTTCTGTTCAGTTTTCTAAATTTAAAATTGGATTTTTAAATATTATAGTAAAGTATAAGTATCAACAATATTTCGTTTTTTAAATAATAGAGAAAATTTTAGCGAAATACGTAAAATTTTTGTCATTAATTTTGAAAATAGGATACTAAATATTAAACTATCGTTTTATTTTCTTTAACAAATAAAATATAAGGTATGTAAAGGGGAAAATTTTGTAGAATTTCGTTTCAAATATATCATTAAAAAATACATAGTTACATCAGAATATGATGAATATTTAATGGCAAAGTTCAATTTGTAAATAAAAAAAAATACGTTGTAAAGTATGCGGAAAATATAATTTTTTTTTAAATTTTAAACTATCAACCAATTATTCCTAGATAATAAAAGCTTTAATTTTCATTATACTTTACTTCTATTTACTAATATTGTATTTTTAATGTACATTCTTTCAATATACAAATTATATATGGAACCTAATTATATTTTACCTTTACCACATATATTTTCTTTCAATTGGTAAAACGTAGAATCTTTAATTACATTTGGATACTTTAAAATTCTATAACATTTATTTACATATAGCGCTATTTCTAGATATAGAACTATTTCGACATGTAATAAAATGAAGAATTCGTATTTATATCATTTTACCTGGGAACTGTTTAATCAATGCTGTTCTCTAATTGAAATTTTAACGTATTTTATTTTATATAGCTTTCAGTTTCTTTTTCTATACAATTCTAATAACGATGTATCATTTAATATATCAACGATTATAATTGTAGTAATGGAAATGGTTTAATCATTCAGTTTAAAATCATTTTTCAATTAGAGAAAAATTGTTTTCAACTTGATTTAACCCCTTGATCAAGGAACACAGATTAAAGATAATCATCATAAATGTGTTATGAAATAATTCATAACTCATTCCTTTGTTTAGAGATAATAATATGATATGAATTAAAGAATAGAGAAATAAAGGAATTAAGGTATAACGAACCTGATGGACAAAAAAAAATATTTTTCTCAGTTCTCTTCAGATACAGGAGAGCGACCCCAAATGCAGCTTTACGGCTGAGTCGCGGTGGGAGAGAATCACGTGACCCCCTGAATCGCTACTCATTGGTCTACTATCCCTAGCGTTCTTCCCTCATACAAGCTAGCTAAAGAGTCGATATTCAAATGCTAAGTAGAGATATGAAATCAAATATACAAATAAATTCCTATCTTTCACATGATTTGCATCATTGAAGACGTTGCACATAATAATTAACGTTTTCTTTGAATTTTAAATTTGTCTTTTGTTAATTCAATGACAGCTGTTGCCTTAAAAGTTATCGATCCATATGAATTAATGCGTATATCTCATAATACACTTAGGAAAATAAATTTACATGTAGTTTTAAAAAAAAAAAATTCGAAGCAATTTTTTTTTTTAAATTTAATCAAATCCCCAGCAAATGCAATTAAATTAGTTGATATTAAAAACTATCAATTGATATAAATTAAGAAATATTTCTCATAATGTATTTATCAAAATTAAATTCGCATTAATTAAAAAATAAATAAATAAAAATCAAATGATAAAAATCGAACAGAGAAAATAATCATCGTTTGTAATAATTACCGTTTTCTTTCTATTTTAACTGAAATTTGCCATAAATTCGAAAAAATTCGAAACAATTTTTTTCTTTAAATTTAATCAAATCCCCAGCAAATGCAATTAAATTAGTTGATATTAAAAACTATCAATTGATGTAAATTAAGAAATATTTCTCATAAAATATTTTATCAAAATTAAATTTGCATTAATTAAAAAATAAATAAATAAAAATCAAATGGAATAATCGAACAGAGAAAATAATCATCGTTTGTAATAATTACCGTTTTCTTTCTATTTTAACTGAATTTATGGCAAATCTTATTAAATTAATCGGTTTTTAAAATGTACTGAGTATAATATAAATTAATAAATCTTTCTCATAATTTACTTTATAAAATAAACTTGCAATCAAAAAATAGATAAATGAAAATGAAAAAATGCGAGAAAAGAAAAAAATAATTATCTTTTGATTATCTTTCTTTCTACATTTCAACCACAGGTCCTGTGTTCGATCCTCAGGCCGGGCAAGGTTGACTCAGCCTTTCATCTCTTCAGTGGGTCAATAAATGAGTACCAAGCATGCTTGAGAACTAAACACTGGGGTTCCGCTTTCGGCTGACCACCTAAACGGGAACATCGGCTCTTGCATCCCAGAGCCATAGGTCAAGAAAACTGAGATGGGCACAGTAGGCCTTGGCCCTCTATGGGTTGTCGTGCCACTGAGTTTAGTTTAGTTAACATTTCAACGGAATCCCCCACAAATATTATTAATTTAGTTGATCTTGTAAAACATGAATTAATCAATATTTCTCATAACATCTTTAACCAAGTTAACTTGCAATGTTAAAAAAAAAACAGATGACACAAGATGACGATGATGAAAATGATGAAAAAAGAAACAATTATCATATGAAATAATTATCGTTTCTTTTTTAATTAAAACTGAATTCTTGGCATATTTTTGTAATTAGTTCATTTTAAAAAGCATCAGTTAATATAAATTAATAAATATTTCTTGAAATAAATTTATCAAAATGAAATATCTTTTATTATAATATTATTACAGTAGTTGTCTTAAGTTATAGATTCATATAAATTATTACATATATCGCATAGTATACTAAGCAAAATAAAGTTGCATGTAGCGAAATAAATGAATGAATAAATAAATATTCCCCGAAATGAATGACAAATATAAAATCAATAAATATATATAATGTTATAAATATATATAATGTTATAAATAAATAAAAATTATCGTTTGAGCCAATCATTTTTTCTTTAAATTTTAATTGAATTCCTCAGAAATATTATTTAAGTAGTTGATATCAAAAAATATCTATTAATGTAAATAAATATTTCTCTTGATACAACTAACAAAAGAAACTTATAATTATTAAAAAATAAAAATGAAAAAAAAAAAGATAGAAACGAAGAAAAAAAAAATCGTTTGAAATAATTATCGTTTTCATTTAATTTTAACTGAAATCTTGGCATAAAACCTCGGTAGAACAATATTTTGGGGACCGAATAAATATATTGTTGTAGAGGGATATATTGTTATATCGAGGGCCTACATACTTTAGAGACACAATAAGATTTTTTTTTTAATTTTAATGTTGCATATGTATTTACTATACATATATTTATATATTATATTAAAAATTAATTTGCAGAGTGTTAATTATGGTTAAAAATTAAAAGCAATTGAAATAAATTCAGAAAATAAAATCTTAAACATTAGAAAGCAGTTTTAATTGAAATTAATTCCATATTTTTGTTTGTTTATTCATTTTTTTTACTGTTAAAGTAAGCATTGAGTCCAAAGCACGAAAATGATTTTCGTTTGTAAATGGTACCCCACCCACCCTCCAACTTTATCAGGTGTTAATGCAATGTGTGTGGTCATTTGTGACTCATAATTAGCTTGTAACATGAAAAAAAAATGAAATCAGATAGGAATCTGTGACTTCTTCAGAGATAAGGGAGGTAATTCTAAGAATGGAAGCTCTTGGGGTGGTCAGCAGTGAGTCTTCTCTTATCAGAAAAAATGGCAAAAGATGATAAAATAGGATTGTTTACATTATTTGAAAACCAATAATTACTGGAGAAAATAAAGTTGAAATTTGGAAAACAGTCGTTTTACAGAGGTTCGTTGCTTCGGACAGTATCATAATATTGAGAGGAGGATAACATTAATTCATATGCAAATTCGTCGGGACCACGAAACATTATCGAAATAGAGGGAGTTATTGTTGTATCGGGTATCGTAGTAGCAAGAGCTCACTGGTTGCTAATTACTAATAATAAAATAGTTGCTAAATACTAAATCGGAAATTGTTTTTTGACAAAGTAACGGATAGTACCCGAGGTTGAACCGCGAACCTTTATCCTTTAAATCAGGCTTAATCTATTTATTACAACACCTTGTCTTCTGGTTGGTTTGGAACACAGAAATCATTATTAACTTTATCCATTTAAAAACTGAGAAGCCATCTTTTTAATGACAGTACAGTGCGTAAAATAAAAAAAGATTTCCTCCTTAAAAACTTTGGTTCTAATTATCGAATTTTCACCAAATAACAACCAATGTTAATGGTTTATAAGGGTGGTTTAATTTCAATCCTGCTAATTAATGCTAATTATTAATTAAGTTACGGAAACAGACACAAAAACATACCTTCTCTAAATATATATACCGTCATTCGGGACTACTTTGTGCAGCGGGGGCTACTTTGTGCAAATTCGAATTTAGCATTTTTCAAGTTCTGCTATTCAGTATTATGTTTATTTCACGTTAAAAATGTGTGGAATTTGAAGATAGAAGTCTCTTCTATTACTACAAAAAAAATTTCGAATTTTAAAACAATCTCAGAGTGTGTTTCGTTCATCCAATGTCAACAACTTTCCGAGGACGTCGGATGTCGAAAAGTGTGCGTGGAAACTTTAGCTGTGAAATGCAAAGACGTTGATAAAACAATTGTCGTAAGTTCAAAATTTTTTATTTATATATTAATAAACAATTATATCATGTTAGCGTTAAAAAAATTTGAAAATTAATAACAAATAAACGGAAAATGAAAAAAAATGCACTTTGGGGCTACTTTGTGCAAAGTTTCATTCGTTTTTTTTTTCGACAGAAAAATGGTCAGACGTTATAAAAAAATACCTGGAACGAGAAACTACCGTGATTACACTTTAGAAAAGCTGCAACAATGTTTGCAAGCAGTTGCTGGTGGTATGTCGATTGCAGAAGCTTCTCGGAAGTACAAAATCCACAGAAATACTATCTCTAATAAAATTCACAAGAAACACGTGAAACTTCCTGGTAAACTATTATTTTTCTTCTACAAAGATTTTTCTAATGAATTAATCAAACGATTTAACACATAAAAATATATTTTATAGGACATCAGGTGATTTTGACAGAAACTGAAGAGCAAGTTCTGTCATGTTCATTCAAGGATGTTATGTTCAAATTTAACAATATTATAAATGTTAATGAATATGTAATAATTATTATTTTCAAAATTTCATCCATTTCAATGTTTAAAAATGTATATGGTTTCCTTTTGTTTAAACTCAAATGTTTTGAAATAAACATTCTTTTTAAGAAAAAATTCTTTAAAAAAAATGGTTTTTTAACGCTGAAAATTATTTTCAAACTAATATCTTTACATATCTTGATGTTTTTGTCTTTAAAAATGTCAACAATTAACTTTTTTAACTATTTTATATCAATATTTTACTAAAAACATAATTATTAAACTGAATTCCTATCTCTGCACAAAGTAGCCCCATTTGGGGGCTACTTTGTGCAAGGTAAGTTTTGACTTATTATTCGTAAATATTACATACAAATAATGCCAATATTGATCAAATTCACTCGTCTGAGACCAGTTATGAATATAATATCGAGAAATTTTACTAAAGTTTGAATTAACATAGTTTTTTTACATGTCAAAGTTCAAAAACTGCGAAATCCTGCACAAAGTAGCCCCGAATGACGGTATCTAATGGATATAGATTTTTGACTATCAAAAGAAGGGGTAGCCGCAATCTAGAAAATGTGGTTCCAATTGTTAAACTAGGAAAACGGTCAAAAATTTTGCCCCTTAAATGTTAATTTCACTTTTTGTGCATTTCGCCTTATCTCGTGAACTTTAAAAACAAATCGAAAATTTTTTTGCTCACAATTGTAAAATTTGTTTATCCAAAGATAATTCTATGAAGAAAAAAAAATTAAATAATTTTTTATTATTTTATTTCATACGGGTACAAAAATTTAGAAATGTGATGCAAATTCTTACAGCTTTTTAAACTATGTAATTTTGAATGACAGAAGGCGAAATCAGTCGGTTAGTTTCCGAGAAACAAATTTTTTTAAACAAAACTGCATTTTGAAATAACGACCCTTATTAAATAAAATAATAAATATTTATTGAAATCTTTTTTTTACGTGGAATTATATCAGGATGAATGGATTTTATAATTGGAGGAAATTTATTTTGATCATTTACAAACGTACAGCAAAATACGCAAGAGGTTAAATT